GGTAGATGGACAAGGCGCGAAGCATACAAATTAGGGAAATTCAAGTTCTTGAAATCGGACACAGTATGATCTGTTGCACCTGTATCTATAATCCAGAAAACATATTTATTAGTCCAAGATGAAACACTAGAACATGTACTTGCAAGATTCACCATAGCATCGGATGCAGGAGTTTTCTGCAGCAATTCCAAAATCTCATTGTACTGATCATGAGTAAAAACAGGTGCTCTTGACACAGGTGCCTGACTATCAACACGTCCTACCTCATGCTCCAAACCAACCGAACCTTTAGTGCTATTTACCATTGCTGCATGAGTTGTCTTCTTTTTGGTAAACTTATAGTCTGTTGGAAAACCAATCAATCTATAGCAGTTATCCCATTTATGCCCCTTGATCTTGCAGTAATCACACACACCTTGAAATCGACGACGATATGAAGATCCATACGCTTGTGAATAAAGAGCCGTAGAATCTGAAAAAGGTGTGGAACCACTCAAATGTATTCTTTAAGACTCCTCTTGGACAATAATCGAATAAGCCTTATTTACTACAGGAAGAGGCTGCATGAGAAGGATTTGATTCCTAATAGCCGAATAAGCTTCGTTTAACCCCATTAAAAATTGAAAAAGTTGCTGTTGAGCATAATGCTAGAGATTTTGTTTCGATACTTCACAACCACAATTAGAAAACGGAACGAGAGCGTTATACTCATCCCAAAGAAGTTTCAGACAAGTATAATACACAGAAACAGTCGATTCACATTGATTGAGAGTTGCAATCTCACGATAAAGAAAAAAATTCCTGATCCATCTATTTTATCAAAACGTTCACGCAAATCCTTCCAAAGTCCAAACTAACAAAGCATTCGAGGGTAAACAATACCAGCAGATAAATCTCTACTCACCGTATTCAATATCCAGGACAAAACGATAGCATTGCACCGCTCCCATTGTGGATGCAAAGCAACAGGATAACCATCCTTCACACAATCGCCATCAACAAAGTCCAACTTATTTTTCGCCAACAACGCTATCCTCATTGTACGACTCCATATGCTGCAATTTTCCAATCCCGTGAGATGATGCGAGACTAACAAAGTCCTCGGTGTATCAGATGGGTGAAGATACACAGGATGATTGAAATCAACAACCGTTTCATCCATCGCTGGTGGCATTTCGACTGAAAACTCAACCTTAGAATCGTGAAAATTGGGAAAAAGAACCCAGTGAAAAGCGAAGAGAAAGACGAAGAGAAATACGTGAAGAGAACACGTGAGAAAATACAAAATAACATCAGCCACACACTACACAAACCACCCCCAAATCACTAGCCCAATAACCACGCAAGCCCCATAATCCAAAACCTTGCTCTTGATACCATGTTAAATTTGTGATAACCAAAGAATAAAGAATATTTTTGTATCTTCATTTTTTTGTAAAAGGGGTACTTTGTATTAAAATCAATGCAAAGTATATCACCTCATGAACCTCATTAAAAAACCTCTCTATCCCTAAATGGAGAAAAAAGAGTGAACCAAGAGGTGGAAAATAATAAAATCAAGGATACCATAGAGCAACAAACAATTCGCAACCCTAACCACACAAACACTCACACAAAACGCTCATACCTGCTGAACGTTACACCAGACCTTGACATTCATCGACACTCAACCCAATCACACAATAAACAACCAAAATATCCCAAAAGCTCCTGATGGAAGAATAATCAGTGTATACTCTCAAAGAACACGACCCTGGACTTCACACAATCCTAGACAATCAAGCACCAACCTCAAAAACAAATCTCGAGTAACCCCAAATTAACCGTGTCACTTCTTTCCAACTAACACAACCCACCTTTTCTTCAAATCAAAATCAGATAGCGAACTACCAGATAATTCAGAGGAATTTAGATAAGATTTCAGCAATTTTAATCTCTTCAACGCTCGATCTCTTTTATTTTTCTCAGTTTTCGAAATAACTATGTCTTGAATATCCAATAGCGAGCCAAATTTCTTCTGTTTCCTATTCAATCTGTTGGTCAACACCTGCTCGGAACTCGAACTCTCAAGAAGCCTTAGATTATCGGAATTTGACTTGGGCTGCCAAGGATATGCTTCTGAACTTGGGACCAAGCACCCAAAAATATTGACCAAGGCCCTGCTCGCCAACCCATCAAAAGACGCACTTGGCAAAACTATCGCCTTGCCTCCTAAACAATCACCCAAATCCTTGCCTTTCACGTGCATCATATTATAATTTATCAAAGCATTTTGATAGCCTCTCCACTGACACAAAGAAAAATACGCCCTAGCCCCATACCGCATTATCTTGGATTTGAAATTAAAAAGACCCATGTTATTATTAAAATCCCTTTTCACTAACCCATCAAAAGGCACAACCTGACAAACTTGCGCGTTGTCTTCTATGTCAGTAGACAACTCCACCTCACCGCCCACGAGGCCACTACAAGCTGCCTCCAAAGCATTAGAAGCATCACATCTCTGACACCGTAAAACATACGTATCAACCCCATAACGCACTGTCTGGGGTTCTAAATCTTGAGCCCATAACTCTACACAACGAGGACCAACACCAGCTTCCTCCGTAATAGGACACCTCGATCCACCACCAACGGTTGAGCCATCGAGAAAATCTCGAGCCTCTTCCTGACCAGTCTCCATATGTGTGTTATCACGAAAAGATTGAGTAATCATACTAGCACCAACCTCCAACTCGGGAGACTTTTCTGATGAGACCTTAACAATCTCCTCCACGATGGAAGCCGGAGAAGCAACATCCCAAGCCATCGAAGACAAATCTTCCCAAATAGAATCTGGGCTAAAACAAGGTTCAAACTCAGAAACAAATACTAACACAATTCTTTCTCCAACTACCAAATCGATTGATTCTTCCACTCGAGCTTTGCAGTTCGTTATAATCTAAAATAGAGCCCTATCAAATGATCCGGGATTAAGGGTCCCTTCCTCAATGGAGATGAGTTCTCCCCATTTCTTTGCAATGTTTCTGAAAGTGGAATGGCCCACACAAACGGAGGTATTCCCCTACAAGATAGCCATGCTCGACGGCTGCGACACTGAAAATTCTCCGACCACACTTCCACTTTGTCAAAGCAATTTTTCAACGCTTCAGACTGGTTAAGTAGAGTATGATCCATACTCTCTTCATCTTCAAAAATGATTAAAATTGCTAAACCGCTTAACCTCATAATTTTCGGGCCTAATATTCCTTTCTTGTGCATAATAGCGGCCAGGTCTTTCATTTTCATAAATTTTTTACACCACCCTACCAGACTATCTCTAAGTATAACTAGCTTATCCTCATCAACAACACCGACGATGGGAGCCTGAGAAAAACTATCCACCACCATTCTATTCTTAGCCTCAGTCGGATTTAGACCCGAAGACTTCTTTCTCCAAAAAGCTTCTCGAGGTTTAAATCTCGCCATGAAGACTCGAACTTTATTACCTTGAATTATTGATCTATCGGCACAAATGATGGCCTTCCTCGCATCCTCCAATCTGGTAAAACGAACGAAACCAAACCTACTACCTCCCTTACTTCTTTATTAGGGATGAAAGAATCGACCACCTCGTCGTATTTATCAAAAATTATCCAAAGACCTTGATGATGAATAAACTCTGGAATGTTAAAGATGATCACCGTAACACAATTTCTCACAAACGAACTTCTCACCTTACTCGCCATAAAGATTATACTTATAAAAACGCCTGAAAATTTAATGAACACCTGAATTTTAGAGAGAATGAGGAGCTTCTCTCATCAGACTTCACCACTGTTGTTTCTGTTATTCGGATGTCTTTTCTTCGATCGTCTCGCACATTTAGTTTTGGTGGGTGAGTCTTTCAACAGAGACTTTCTGCATACACAATGATTTTTACTCGAGATCTTGCTTAAACGATATCATTTTTGTATCTTCATTCATATGAATAAGCTTACAATACAAGGTTATTTATACAAGAAGTAAAGAAACTAAACAGCCTAACTACCCTGATAACAAACTAACTGCCTGCAGCTAAGCTATCCTCAACATATCCCATAGAAAATACTATACAACATTGAATAATAATTAAAGGCGAAATTGAATCTGATGAGACAGTTCGAGATCAGTTAAAACAGTTCTTAATCCCAAGCATTGGGATTAGGGATGACAACTATCTAACGTCTAAAACTTTAAAACAATTGAGATTCCTTTTTCCATTTTTGCATGAAAAGAAATTGATTTGCTGTGGAATATGGAATCTATCTAGAATAATTATTTATAACATTAAAACCATTGAGATTCTTTTTTCACATTTTTGCATGAAAAGAACTTGATTTGCTATGGAGTATGGTCTAGAATAATCATTTATAACATTAAAACCATCGAGATTCTTTTTTTCTCTCACATTTTTCACATATTTGCATGAAAAGAAATTGAGGCTATAGAATAATTTTTCTTCTAAAGGGTTTGTGGAGTATGATTGTAAATGTTATGTTTGGAACATAAAATTTATTGCATATTATTATTTTTTAAAAATTTGAAAATTGAAAATGAGTTTATAAAGATATCTGTATATGTTAATTAAATTAAATTTTACATTAATTAATATTTTGTAATAAAATATATTTTATAGCAAGTGAAGAATGTGTTATTTAAGATTTATATTTGAGATTTTATCAAGCGATCTCGGTGGTGAAAAAGAATGTTACTTTCTTTAAAGATTCTATATTCGAGCAATTGCATCTCTGGTGTATATATATATATTGTCGATGGTAAAAAAAAATCTAAACAAACATTAAATGTTAACTAAATTAAATTATTACATATTCTTTGCTGAATTCATGTCAAATAATAAAATAAAATAAAACAATCCATTTGATTCTTAAAAAGTTAATCCAAAGTTTCTATATTCATGCACCCAAATCCCTATAAATTGTACGCTGTCTCATTCCTGAAATTCAAATCCAAAACCGGTAAGGCATAGAAGTGAAGGAGAAATTTTGAAAACAAAAAAAAAATGTCTTCCTCTCGTTTGATTATCGTCTCAAAAACCCTGGTTTTCCCAGATCAAAAATCAAGCCTTGGAGACCTAAAGCTTTCAGTTTCTGATCTTCCCATGCTGTCTTGCCATTATATCCAAAAAGGCTGTCTCTTCACTCGTCCTTCCATCCCCATCGACTCACTCATTTCTCTCCTCAAACAATCCCTTTCCAAAACGCTGTCGTTTTTTCCTCCACTCGCCGGCCGTCTTTACACCGACGAGAAAGGTTACATTTACATAACCTGCAACGACGGCGGAGTCGAGTTCCATCATGCCAGATACACCTCCCGTTTCATCCGTGACGTCATTGGTCCGGTTCATGTTCCGGAGTTGGTCAAGGAGTTTTTCACCTTCGATAAGATGGTTAGTTATCAGGGACATTACAAGCCGATCATGGCCGTCCAGTTCACCGAGCTGGAAGATGGAGTCTTCATCGGATGCTCGGTTAACCATGCGGTGATCGACGGTACGTCGTTTTGGAATTTCTTCAACACTCTCGCTGATATTTGCAGAAAAATCAGTAACAATGATAATGAGAGTATTGAAGAAATCGCAAGGCGACCTGATTTTTCACGGGACTCGGTTTTTATTTCATCGGCGATATTGAAAGTCCCCGACGGAGGCCCCAAAGTTACGTTTAACGAAAACGAGCCGTTATGTGAGAGAATTTTCAGTTTTAGCAGAAAAGCCATTTTAGAACTCAAAGCCAACGTTAATGGCGACTTTAACGCCGTTGAAATTCTGGGGAAGCAAAGTAACGACAACAAGTACTATACTGAAATGGCTCCGGTTTCAAGAACGGCGGTGATTTCGTCGTTTCAGTCACTTTCGGCTCTTCTCTGGCGGGCGGTGACACGTGCAAGGAAGCTTCCGGCTTCCAAAACGACGACGTTTAGAATGGCAATTAATTGTCGTCACAGGCTGAATCCGAATATGGACCCTTTATACTTCGGAAACGCGATTCAAAGCATCCCGACGTACGCATTGGCGGGTGACGTCACGTCACGCGACATACGGTGGTGCGCCCAGCAATTGAATGAGAGCGTGAAAGCTCACGACGACGAAACGGTTCTTCGTTTCATTCATATCTGGGAGAAGAATCCACTGTGTTTTCCATTGGGAAACTTGGACGGCGCATCGTTGACGATGGGGAGTTCTCCTAGGTTCCCTATGTACGACAATGATTTCGGGTGGGGTCGACCGTTGGCGGTTAGGAGCGGCGGAGCTAATAAATTCGATGGGAAGATCTCTGCCTTTCCAGGGCGTGAAGGGAACGGTAGCGTTGATTTGGAGGTGGTTTTGGCGCCAGAAACAATGGCCGGGATTGAGTCGGATCACGAGTTCATGCAATACGTAACCTTTTAAACCGTGCAATCGCGGTATTGTGTTTTTAAAATTACAGACGTAGTTATAGCATCACTACCAGCTTGAAAATCGTTACGATACGATCATTATAGTATTTTGACCGTAATTTAGTGCTATAATATAAATGTATTTTTGTGTGTTTTTATGTTTAAAAAATGAAATGTTAATTGGCCTGAAAATTGAAGCTGTAACATCTGGTTTGATCTTCCACTGGACCACTGGATTAGTTTCATATTTATATTCCATGTATACCTTTAGGTTTAATCTAGTTGGTTCATACATTCATTTCTTTAAGTTGACATCCACATGATATGGTAAGTTATGGTTGTATTCCATGGATACAATTACTATTGTAGCCGTAATTACAGATACAATTATGATGATAGAATTAGGAATGTTACAATATGATTTATTTTATAAAAATAAGTAGTAAATTTTTAAATAACGGATATAATATTATGATGGTTTTAAAAATCGTTATGATATAACGGTTACATTGTGTTGTGTATACAATTTACAAAATTTCGAACTCTTATATTAAGATTAAGAATCTGAAGAGGTGATCTTTGTTTGAAGGTTATTCCCTCCGACGGCTCTTCATTGTCCTGACTCTTGAAGGATTTGATACGTTGATGGTTTAGGGTTACTCTTGGTTTATTGGTACTCTTTTCTAAATGCCAAATTGAGTTCCATCATTGTTAGAGGAGTGAAGGCCATTTCAATATTTTGGTTGTGTTTAGAAAGATTTTGATTAGGGTTTTTATACCTCCTCCTACGTCATGTTAGGTTACATTTCGAAACTTATACGTCCTCTGAAGTTGTTTGAAATTTTCAGAGTTTGTATCTTATTCCTTTAATTTAAATTAGACAGACTTACGAGATCTATATTTTAATATCTGACAACTAGATCTATTCAATTTGTAAATTTATATTTAGTCACCATAGTCTATTTATAAAATCCTTCAACCAAGATTGAGAAAGTAGGATCTTCTCCTTCATTAGCTATTTTTCCCATTTAACCTTCATAAATCAAGCGACTTTAACCGTCTAAAATTCCTCCATGAACGACCGATTGCAGCCCTCCGCCTAAGTTAGCCGTCTATAACCGCCACAACACAAATGTTGCCATCAACAGGTTTTTAGTGGTAAGTTGTTTTGTGAAAGTAGGGTTGACATGAAGCTGTTTGACCTTAGCATGAAGGGTAGTATTTTTGCTGCAGTTGTTCTGAGCAGCAATCTTGTTCATCCTCTCCTTGAAGGATACCAAATCACAGATGCTCTTACAAGATGTTTTGATCAAGCATGCTTGTCTTCTTAATAAAAGAATTCGCTTAGAAGAAAGAAAGAAAGCAGATCAAGCAAAACGTACAGATATTCAAAACGATTAGACAAGTTGAGTTGTTGGAGAAGCATAGTGATAGAGATGACAACGACGGTAGTCCTTTTTGATGAAATGATCTATTATTATGCATGCACCATTCACCCCCTTCATGCTCTAGGGGTCCCATTCTGTACATGAAATCTAAAATCTCAACTTTATTTTATGCGCCACTAATATTTGATGTACATTGCATAATGCCCCCCAAAATAAAGGCACTGTCTTTTCTGAAGATTGGAGAGCCATTGCTTTCCCTCCTTTGGAATTTTCCACCATTCACCCCTTAATCTCCAGGGGTCTTATCTACCCTTTATGGCTTTATTAGAGATATGTCACAATCATGAGGTTTGCAAATAGTACAGCTCCCCCAAACCCACATTTGCATTATTGCAAGATAAAGTATGGCTTATCCATAAATTAGATTGATTAGAGTGGAGACTTGGTGAATGAAGAAATTAAAACTATTTCTTTGTCTGGTGTGTATTGACTAAACATGTCGCTGCGAGCTCTTCTAACATTGTTCTACAAAAGTTTAAAGTTTGATAATAATAGTGGATTGTTACTTGTTTAAGCTATGGAGGTAGACAAAACAGAACAACATTAAATTCCATCTCTTGTAAATGATCTATTTCGATTGCAAATTCTTTATTGCCTAGTTGGATGTTGGTGATAGTTGTTGAAGGCACATCATGCAAATGGTTTCCAGCAGCGCAGAAATTCATGGTTTGGTTCATGAATCTTGATGTGAATTTAGGGTTAATATTCATATTCAAATTGAGTTTTGACATTGGTGTAAGCTTGGATATATGCAAGATAGTTCACGCCACCTGTAAAGAAAAAAATACAAATATTCATCAATTATGATGATGCTTTACTAAACCATAGTTCCTTCTGAAGTCTGAGAAGTATAGCAAAAGTAGCAGAAAACAATAGTAAAATGCAGCAAAGAGATGAGCACTGCCACACTAGGGTTAACTAAGAAGATTCTTTCTGATCTTAGTTTATAAAATAATCAAAATTAATGAAACCAGACAGCAAAACCATGATGTTTGTCTTCCTTGTAGTCAAAATTCGATTATTACACGACTCGACAACCTTTGTGCTTCTCCCATTCGTGGGCGGAACCATGGGGCTGTTCCTCCATTAGTGGAGAAAAAGCATATATAAATATGTAAGATTTATAGACAGATACAGTGCTTGGTTTTGTTTGGCTTGGTTCTCGAGAGAAATTTCTTTGGGGTTTGGATTTGTTTGGCAGCACTAGTTTCAGAAAATTGTTAAATTAACTCTAATCACTTTATTTTATTTAGTTATATATATATATATATATATATATATATATATATATATTCAAATTCTTGTGCAAAATTCTTCAAACTATAAAACAAAGAAGTCAGTAATGGTAAACCTAATTTGTCAAGCATATCAAATATTTCCACTGCACTGCATGACTCTTATTAATTATTTATTTATCATTTTTAGGGTTCATAAGTTAAATATATATGTTGAGCATAGTAGTGGTCATTTTCTTAAAAAAAAATAACGAAAAGTGTTATCATTCAATGTATTTTATAAAGATATATTTATAAATCAATTAAACTATTCCCTTTTTTTTCTTTTTTTGCTTTGAAATACCAGTTTACCCAGTTGACACAGGGGGTCATACAGTGTTTGAGTATGAGGTGGAGTTTCTTCGTCTAAGTTAGGATGCACCAGAGCTGGTTTCATCAGAGTACCACCATTTTAGGATGTTCAGGGAGGGCCTTTGATTAGATATTCTAACCCACCTAGCTATCGATCTACCGATAATATTTTTTGAATTAGTCTGGCAAGTAAAAGTTATCAAGAGGGTTCTAGAGAGGAGAGAAATTGAGATAGAGGCTACTTCTGGTTAGAAAAAAGGATTAGTTGGGCCTTTAGGATCGTCCCAGCAACCTAAGAGAGTGGGAGACTCCCAAGGGTTTGAGAGCCCTAGTCGGCCAGTCTAGCATGTATGCTCATAGTACGAGTAGAGGTGGAGGTTGATCTAGTCAGTGTAGGAGACTGTTGGCCACCGCATCAATTACGAGCTCTAGAGGTTCTTCGAGGATATAATCTCATCCTAGCTGTTCTACCTACGGCAAGAGGCATCATGGGTTTGTCGGTAGGGGTCCAAGGGCTGTTATCATTGTGGTTCCCTGGACCACTTTGTCAGAGATTATCCAGAGGCACAGGATGTGACCCCAACCTCGACTAAGAGATCAATATCATCGATTCAGATGGGTAAAAGACCCCAAAGAGGTGGAAGTTCTGCATTCGATCAGTCTGGTAGAGGTGTAGTTCGATCTGAGGCCAATGCCACGCTAATGTCGTTGCTCGCCAGTATGCAGTTTGAGCTCAAGAGAATTGTAATGCCGCTTACATGATCTCATGTACTTTTACCATGTTTTTCATTTCAATTAATACTTTAATTGACCCCAGATCCACCCACTCCTATGTCTACTATGACCTAGTGCAAGAAAGAAATATCCTAGTTGAGAATCTAAATATAGGAGTTCGAGTGTCCAGTCCTTTAGAATTAGATGTCCTTGTAGACAAAGTCCATCGTAGATGTCCGATGCAAATTCAAGGTAAGATCTTTCCTACTGATCTTATGGAGCTGCCTTTTATAGAGTTTGATCTGATTTTGAGCATGGATGGGTTGTCGGAGCACGATGCAAGCTTGAGGTGTAAGTTTCGATGGCTTAAACTTAGGAAGGTGGATGAGACTAGGATCATAATGTTTGGTGAGAAAGCCAAGATTCAACAGTGGTGTCGGCCCTTAAGGCTCAGCGAATATTAGATCAAGGTTATGAAGCCTTATTGGCTCACATTGTTGACACCAAAGTTGCAGTTTCAAGGATAGAGGACATTCGAACCGTTAGAGACTTCCCAGACGTGTTTCGTATAGGGGTAATGCCATGGTCTACTCTAGTGTTCATTGTTCTTTACCACATGGCACCGACGGAACTAAAGGAGTTGAAATCGTAACTTCAAGAGTTATTGGAAAAAGGGGTTTATATGGTCGAGTATTTCTCCTTGGGGAGCGCTAGTCATCTTCGTTAAAAAGAAAGACGGGTCCATGAGGTTGTGCATCGACTACTGTCAGTTAAACAAATTGAAAATAAAAAATCGTTATCCTCTTCCCAGAATCGATGACCTCTTCGATCAGCTTAAAGGAGCATGTATTTTCTCCAAGACATATATGATATCTGAGTAGGTTAAAGAGGCAGATATCATAAAGATGGCATTCAGGACCATATACTATCATTATGAGTTTCTTGTAATGTCGTTTGGACTCACCAACGCCCCGGTGACATTCATGGACCTCATGAATCGAGTCTTCCACCCTTACTTGGATCTGTTCATAGTGGTTTTGATTGATGACATTTTGGTATATTCACGATAAAAGGATGAGCACAACCGGCATCTCCACATAGTTCTTCAGACTCTTCGAGATCAACAGTTATTTGTAAAGTTTGGAAAGTGCAAGTTTTGGTTGTCAGAGGTTTTAAATTTGGGGCATGTAGTGGAAGAAGATGGTATTCGAGTCAATCCTCAGAAGATTCACGCAGTACTTAAGTGGGAGCCACCAAAATGTGTAATAGAGGTGCACAGTTTCTTAGGTCTTGTGGGTTATTATTATAGATTTGTTAAGGGTTTATCAATGATAGCAACCCCAATAACTAAGTTACTTAAAAAAGTAGTACCGTTTG